ATGTTTTTGCTCCCCACAGTTCCAACAGCCTTTACTGCTGTATCGTCTCTCCTGTGTTGAAGTTTCCAACATTGAGCACTCTTGTGCCCAGGTTTGTTACAGTGCCAGCAAAGTCCCCCAAACTTCTGTGAAAGCTGACCTTTTCTGGCCTTGAATCCAGATGACTGTACCAACCTCGGTACCTCTGTGCTGGACTTAACGTAGGATTCAAATTCGAGAGCTCTGGCCGTTGCATCCTGCATGGTAGAGGGGTGTGCTTGCTTCACTTGTATCTTAAGTTGTGGACTGTCCAAGGCATCTACGAACTGATCCCTCAGTAACAACTTGAGGAGATCAGGTGGTGCAGTTGGGTAGGCCTTGTGTGCCATGCTTTCCAAGTCTTATGCCAGCTCTTGCAGGCTCTCCCCTTTAGCACGGATTCTCGTCCTAAACCTAGCCCTGTAGACTTCTGACTGATTCTAGGTTCCGTACCTGAGTTCCAGAGCCTCTACCAGAGCTCTATAGTTGTGTCTGTCGGCTGCTGTCAACTGTCCAAGTATTTCCAGTGGTTGTCCCTTCAAGCTCGTTGCCAGATATACAGCTTTCTGCTCCTCTGTCCATCCATTGATCTCTGCCAGTAGCTCAAATTGTGCTCCATATGCTTCCCACGGTGCCTTCTCATCGAATTCCTGTGGCTGCCTTTGCACTGGATCACTCCTATCATATCTGGGATGTGACTTCCAATGGGACTGAATATGTCTGCGTTAGGGTTTAGCTGCGGCTCTGTAAGGGGCTTGCCATTGTCTGGGGCTGATTACGTCGATGGTCAATGTATCCTCCTTGTGTAAAAGACAATAGATCGTCCTTTAACGTATCTAATTCGCTTTTAAATTTACTAATGTTTATCATTTGTACTTCTTGTTTCCTTTCTTGTTCCAGTTGCCACTGCTGTAGTCTTTCTTCTTGTTTCTTTTCTCGTTCTTCTTATTTATTTTCTTTCTCCTCTAACAACTGCTGTAATTTCTCTACTTGTTTCTTTTCTTTTTCCTCCAACAACTGCTGTAATTTCTATTCTCGTTCTTCTTGTTTCTTTTGCTGTTCTTGTATTGCTGCCATCAAGTCTGCTATGCTGTAGTTTGATTTGCCGCTTCTCGTTTCCTTTTTTTTTGTTCCACTCTCTGACACCAATTTGTTACGCCTCCAGTCGTTAATTGATTTTCCGTAACTTCGTTCCGACGAAACTTTAGCGACACAAGTCCTTACTTAATAAAACTGGTTTATTCTTTCTGAATATAACTTTACCGATACACTTATTTTCAACAGGTCGCTCTATAACAAACGTTAACTTCAACAATACTTTCTGACTGCAGTTCAATTACTCACTACCTACACACATTGTCCCGTCACGTTGTGAGCTTCTTATATATATACCAGACTAACATATATCTAGTAAATGCTAGGGCATTCACGAAGGAACAGGATATTTCTAGAAAATAGGTGGCGTGACACTAGTCACGTGACCTCGCTGACGCAACAGTATATAATAAACAAAACATAATATATTTCAAAGGTACCCGATAGAAAGAAATTAAATGCATCATTTTTTCCCTAAGTGTTCCAATGTAGTAAGGTGGGCTTGTCACTGAAATGAAATTTGTTTTAGTGCTCTATTACAATTTAAAATAGTTAGAGCGCCTACTCGCAATCTGTTAGATGCGGGTTCGAATCTCCGTCACCGAAAATGCTCGCCCTTTCAAACGTGGGGGCGTTATAATTGGATAGTCAATCCCACTATTCGTTGGTAAAAGTGTGTTTGTGTGATGTGACCACCGAGGGGAATCGAACCCTTGCTCTTAGCGTTGTAAATCATTAGACTTGCCGCTGTCCTAGAATGGAACTCGTTGGAAAAAGAGTATCCCAAGAATTGGCGGCGAGTGGTGTGGCTAGCTGCCTTCTCTCTAATCTATCACTACAAAATTAGGGACGGCTAGTGCAGATAGCCCTCAAGTAGCTTAACGCGAAATTCAGAACAAATAATACAATTTAAAAAATGTCTCACTTGTTCATAATATTTTACATTCTTAATGGCATTTGGAAACTTTTAGCTCTAATAGTAATGTCCAAAACTTTTGTAGGAATCACATGAAGAACAAGAATGACTAAGGAAAACAAAACCTGGGAATTTTATGTATCAAACACAAATAAATAATTGGGTAATTTCAAAAACAAACTCTTAATTAAAATAGAAGTTCTGAAATGAAAAAAGGGAAATTATATTAAATATAATCAATATAGTGAATAGTATCCACAAGAATCAAGTTTCTGAAATTACTTGAATTAAAAGATATTTTGGAATTAAATTTAACTATGGAGACATACATTTAGCAATTATTTCCTAATTTAAATTTATCAAAATTTATTTCTTTAAAATTTTCCAGGACTGAAGGAATCGAGAGCATCACTTTCAGGAAGTGAAAGCATTATAATCCAGTTGGACTTGAACTTTCATTCTTTCAGAATATTTCCACTATGACACATGAAACTTATAGCAGGTCAGTCAAGTTAAATATTTTCCACTGGATGTGTCAAGGCATTAGGAGGTCTTGAGTATCAATTCAGAAAAGAAATACATAAACAGTTATAATACATAGACTTTATCTTTATGTAGTTGCTGCATATACAAGACACATATATAATGATGAGTGTTATATTTAAATTCCCAAGGATTGCCATGTTCTGGCTGGTTAGTTGCTTAATAAGCAAACCATTGTGTCATGGGAGAATGATAATAAAATATACACATAATCTGTCAGTGGTTGATTCCCACTAGAAAGAGAGTGTATGAGAAGAAATAGGAAGAATGGATTATCATTTCTACCTGAAATAACTTCAAAAAAATGTGTGCTCAGACTAAAACCGTTTACCACACACAGAAAAAACTTTGGAAGCCACTGATGACATCATATTCAGGAAAGCACAAGGTATTGATACATGCTTCCTTGGTCGATTACCATAATGAATTTCTGGTTTACTTTTAAAATGGTATTCTGGACAAGGTGTTTATGAAACAAAACTGCATAGAATGAGAGTAAATGAAAAAAATTCAATTTCTTTACTG